AATGGTAACAGAATTTTCAAAGATTTAAGCTAGAGCAGAGCCGAAGCCACCTTGATCCGGTGAATGCTCAATCAATGTTGACCGTGTTGAGAACTGGAGCTAACAGACACGACCTGCAGTAATTACAATATTAACTATTCAGCTGGGTTTGGGGGACACTCCGCTCCAGGGATCTCTGGAAGGTTACATGGGTTAGGATCCTCACAGGAGGCATCGATCGATCCATCGCATAGCATCTCATCGATTTAATTAAACAATTAAATAAAATATAATTTAATTAAAACATCTTATAGTTCGTGGTAGAGACCCCTTCTTGTCAAATTATTAATATCAGGCTAAAACTTTGTGAATGGCTTCATCGTATCATAACCTATAAAATTTTTATATATTTTTTTTATTCTGAAATTGGGCGTTTTATTACTAAACTAATCAGTTTAATTAGCTGCTAAAAACCAGAGATTTGGCAAATGCTACTCTGATTACCGAGTACCGAGTATTTTACTCAAATTGAATCACTATTGGGAATTCAATCTCTACTTCAGTTAATCGTTTGACATCAAATGAAGTAGTAATTAAATTCTTTGGTACTCAAGAATGTTTTTTGGATAAAAAAAAAAAACACCGAAAGCTTCTAGAACTGTAAAACGGAAAAACAAGAGACTATTTTTGAATAGTAACATTTTACATTACAAAATTAAATATTTTGAATCGGAAATTGTTTTCTTACGAACTTGTTTTAATTTGGTCATTCTTGTTTTAGTAGAAAATATAATGAAAAAAAAAATTAAATCTTAATTTAATCGTGGATTAGATTAAAATATTGAATTTTTGGTGAATATTTAAAATTGCCTTTTTATTTTAATTTTTTTTTGGTTTAACTTATTCGAGCCTTCGTATTTGATCGAGAGAAATTTTAACAACTGAGAAGTTAAGGAAATGAGTAACTTTCGTTCGAGGAAAAAAATAAATATATACCATTTTTGTTTAAAATTGATTGAAAAATATTGGCGAAATTAATCAGTTCTCTAAGTTAGGACAAAGCTCCTACTTTCAAAGGTCGGTCTCTAACATTTCAAAACAATAGCATTTAAATTTCCAATCGAACTTTAAAAACGTTTAGAACCTCCCGTTCCGTTATTTCACTGCCAAAAAATTATCAAAAAAATTGTTTTATTTATACATGTGGTTATCCTACTGCTACGCCTGTGTTATTGGTTAAAATAAATAATAATGATATATTCATATATAAAAATAACATGACATATTCATAATATCCTTGACAAGATCAACATTGTTCTCATAGTGATTAATAAAAGGATTCGAAAAAGATCAATAAATGAACACTAAAGGAAAAATAGTGTTTTTTTTTTTCATTTTTCTACTGAGTCATCAGTATAATTAAATTCACAATGAAAAGTTTTTTTTTCGGGATTTCGGAATAAGAAAAAAATAAATTCAATAAAAGAATATATAAAAGTTTTCCCATTCCAACTCTGAAGAAGAATATAACTGTTACTTCTGAACCCATTCGTAACATACTGAGAAAAAATAAAAGTGACGCCTAGTTTTTTCTTTACCCTTCAGATCATTCCAGAAAAAATGCCCAGCACGTGGCAGATACTTGGAGTCAGGCAAGCGGACGAAAATTGAAGATTGAAAAGTCAGATAATATCTGAGGGAACATAGTAACCCAGCTCGGAAAGGACAATATGACAGCGGAAGTCATAAAGATGGTGCAATATGGGGTCATTCAACCTCATAAAAGCCCTTGTATTAACGCGACGTGACCCTATATCTGTCAAAAGTTATGAGTATCATATACCGGGAGGGAATCAAAGACCCGAATCATAAAATGAACTCAGTCGAGAAAGCAAATGTTAAAATATATTGCTTAGGAATTACCTATATATGGGTACCAAGACAATTAAACAGGAACTGAAAAATGTAGGATGAAGAGGCATCTTAAATGATTAAAAGAGTATGATGTAAGCAGAATATAATTTTACAAGTCGACAGGACTAAAATATAAATCCTCCAGAAACACTTTAAAAATGCATCATTAATTAATTCCATCAGAAATTAAGTTTTTTTTTTTCTTCTTCTTAACCGAACTGTGGACCATTAAGCCAAAGGAGAAAGTTTAAGTCAATAAAAGATTTGCTTGCCGAAGTGCCAATAGCATCTGCCCAGTCCCGTAATTCTTAAAATATTGCCCCAGATTAGAAGCGAAGTGTGATTCCCCTTTACATTAGCCCCCTTCCCATTGAAAAAAGTCCCTCATCGAAAGCATCAGAAAAAAGAGTGGACTAGGACAGCTTATTAAACCTAAGAATTCCTTGCTTCATCATCATAATTTAAATTGAAGTGAAATGGTTTATTCACGATTCCCTATAAATTATTAGTCGGTGGTATAGAATTATTCCCTTTTTATCGAATTATTAACATCCGCCTGAAACTTCGTAAATAGTTTCATCTCATCGTAACTATTTTATTTACGAAAACCTTTGGAATTGGGGCGTTTTCAATCAGGAGAGAGGGCAACCTTTGTCAAATTAATTACGTACTAAAAACACATAAATACCTATTTGCTTTCTACTTTGATCGTAAGATAATTTGATCACAAAATAGAGAAAAAAAATGGCCCAACAAAAATATTGGGCCGTTTGTCTTATATAACTTCGTTAAATTGAAAAATTGGGGATATAGGTCACGCCAAACGGCTCACTATTTTCGAAGGCCACCTTTTTTCTCGATTTTGTGATCAAATTATCTTACGATCCAAGAGGAAAGCGAGTATTTACGAGATTATAGTTGCTAATTAAATGGACAGAGTTTCTCCCCCTCTCCCCCACCCGTCCCTCCAGATTGAAAACGCCCCAATTCCAAGAGTTTCTGTAAATAAAAGAGTTGTACGTTACGATGAAATGACAAAATTTACGAAGTTTCTGGCAGATGTTAATAATTCATAAAAAGGCGTCTGTGCCATGGACTAGATTTATAAAAAAATAAATATCGAAAAGGCCATTTCGGTTTATTATTTTCAATAATGAACCATTGTACTCATCTCTATAAATTAAAAAAATAACTTAACTACCTCTCCCCTCGAAATTTGAGGTTTGACGTTTTAGGATACGTATAATTCGATAATCAAATAAAAAATTGTTTGTCCGTCCGCATTCCGCGCATTTTCTCCGAGACTAGTGCACCGTTGTTTTTCAAATTCGGAATCAAAGTTATAAATCACCCGAGAATGATCCTTCTACATCGACATTATTTTCCACCCTTTCCTTTCAAGATGATGACCAAAAAAAACTGTATTGGTATAAATGAATGTACCGATCGCAATGAAGCTTTGCTAAAGTCTTCTTCTCGTCGCACTTCAAATTTATCTACATAACATACTACAACGAAAAGAAGCTGCAAAAAAAGTTACGAGGAAGGTAAAATTAGATTTCTGAATAACACAAAATCGTCTGACATAAATTAAATATGTTTTTCTTAGCATTTCCTATTCAACAAAATACGCGACGTCCTTTTAAGAAAACTCAAAACTTCACCTTTTCTACTTAAAATCGGACCATTGTTTATATAAACTTTTTTTGACGTCTGCTATCACACATTTAAATATTCCCCTCCACTAACTGGACTGTCTGTCTTTGATAGAACTTTTATATCTTTTAAATAGTCAATTAAAATGCCCCAAAATATACAATAGCATTATTTGTAATAATAATAATAAAAGGTTTAGCGAACCCGAAGGTTCGATGCCGAAACCACCAATCGCTCATTACACACCTTCCCCCCACCGTTCGCCGTCCAAACCTAGTCCCTTCTGCTTTAATGCGATTTCCCACCTTCCCAACTTCCCACCTTCGCTTCGGTCTACCCCTCGGACGTTTATCATTCGGTACAGCAAAAATGAACCTTTTAAGAATTCCCTCGTTACTGAGCCCAACAATTTTACAGGCCCATTTGACACGCCGGGATGAAATCACCTCAATTATATTACTCGAATATAGTTCACGCAATATGGCGTTGTGTAACTGTGTGAATTCTCCGGTTAATTCATCCTCCTTCGGTCCGAATATTCTACGCAATACTTTGTTTTCAAAAACCTTAAGTCGTTGCTGATCCCTTAATGTAAGCGGCCACGTTTCGCAACCATAAAGAACTGTAGGTAAGACAATGGTTTTATAGATTCTAATTTTTAAGTAGCGGGACAAGAGGCGCGAGCTAAGTAGTTTTGTCACAGAAAAATAACAAGCATTTCCCGCCTTCAGTCTAACGTTAATCTCTTCTTCAATTTCGTTTTTTATAGTTATCGTAGACTCTAGATACCAAAACTTCTCTACCTGTTCAAACATATTATTATCTATGTGGATATCACCAGTAATATCACCACTTAATTATAGCATTATTTATAATAAGAATAAATGAATAAATAGTCTAATAGACACTAAAGGTCAAGTATATGCTTGGTTTTCATTATAGAGATAATGGATCCACGTGGAAGACATCTACTAAATGATTGTTTTCAAAAGAGTTATGTCAATGCTTTATTCGGTGCTTTGAAAATATTATTACTTCGCGAACAATTTCTTTCCAGTTTTCGGCATTCAGCTCTTGTTATATGTAACATAATTGTTGATTTGATGCATCCAACTGGTTTTTTACTTTCAAGGTTGTATTCTGCTGACTATTGGAGCATTCATTGTTTTGTAGGTGCTGCGAGCTACATATCCATTTTAACATTCTTGTCTCCATGCCATGAGATATTGATGCAAATTACAATATTAAAACTATTTTATCATTCGATTTCCACTCGTCCCGAAAAACATGATGTAGTTTTAATAAGTATTGTTAATGATTTCTGTTTTTCAATGAAGTTTTTATTTAATCATTAGTATTAAAAACGTTTTTAAGTCCACGTGCAAACTTCAAGTAAAAATCTCTCTCCAAAAGTCCTCCTCTTTTGTTAATTACTTTCAGAAATATGTCCTCTACAAAAGAGGGAAAAATTAAATACTAAGAATCCCTGAAGATAAATTATTAAAGAGTGTTAATAAAAGTGTAAAATTAGTTGACTAAATATAGTACAGTAAAATCAAGGATTGGTCCAAAAATCCGAAAAAAAATTACTCTTGTTCAATCAAATATTCTAAATAGTATCATGTATTAAATTTTAGTCAGTTACAACAATATATTTTTCATTTTTATCCAATAGAAAGAAACTTTTTATTATAATTTTCAAAAATCATATAAATATACTTATATATATATATATATATATATATATATATATATATATATATATATATATATATATATATATATATTTTACTGATCACCTCAAACATTCTTCTCTTCAATTAAAAATTCGTAATCAGTAAACAGACAAATTCAACCTGGAAATGAAATAACATTCTTCAAACACTGGCAATTTCGTGTTTTTTTGGAGCAATATTTGCAAAAAAATGGAAATTATATAAATGTAATTCTTTAAATATTGGTATAAACATTGATGTTAGCAAAAAATGTACAGAATATGTATATTTATGTCTAGGAAAATTTATACTGAATCATAAGCGGATCTACAGGGAAGGAGAGATAGGCTTTCGGGATGAAGCCCCTTCCCACCAAATAGGAAAATATGACCACGTTTTAAGAAAAAAAAAAAAAATTATCTCTTAAAGTATTATCGTTCTTCTAATTACATTAAATAGGACTTAAAGAATCACTTAAACACCATTTCATACAGGTAGCTGAAGCCCTCCAAAATTAAATCCTGGATCCGTTTAAGTACTTTAATTAACCTAATAGAGTGGATCAGCTGATGCGAAGGTTGTCTCCTCAACTCCTCTCTCAGTTTTTACCAATTTTATAGCGGAATCTCTCTGATTATTCACGTGATACAGTTAAAGTGTATATCAGAGCAGTTGATATTTACTGTTGGCATCTTTTTTTTTTTTTTTGTTATTTTAAGAAAAAAAAAAATTTTTTTTTTTATTTATTTATTTATTTTTTCTCTTGATATGCGATATGATCAGCAAGTGATGGCCAGTAAGGTGCCGAAGAGGTCTCGGTCAGACAGAGTTAGCTCACCAGCCAAACAAAGGACTCGTCGCTGCCTACGAGAAATACCTCCAGTGACCAAAATGAACACTTCAGAACCAGAACCTCAGCCCCAACCAGGTACGTCTGCACAAGAAACGATTGAAGAATCACCTTTCTTTACTCCAAACCCCTACCAACTGCTTCAAAATGACAGAGAAGTAATGGAGTCTGCAGCAATACCCAGAGAACCAAAGCCTCCTCCGATATTTGTGAAAAATATAAAAAATTTCCAGATGTTCTGCACCCAACTAAATAAAATCTGCTCTGGCAGTTATTCATGCCTTAACAGGACCAATGACACCAAAATAACACCTGATTCTGCAGAAGCCTACCGAAAAATAGTGAAGTACTTATCAGAAACAAATGCGAATTTTCACACTTACCAGCTGAGGCAGGAAAGAGCTTTACGAGTAGTGATAAGAAATTTACACTCCTCAACTCCCACTGAAGTTATTAAAGAAGAACTAACGACGCTTGGTTTCAATGTACGCCAGGTAACAAACGTTTTGAAGGAGGGCAGGGAGCAGACAGGATTACGAAATAGGATCCCACCATACCATTGTTTTTCGTGGACTTGGAGCCATCACCAGGTATCGAAAAAATATATGATATCACAAGAATATACTACACAATGGTGAAAGTTGAGAAGCCATACCCCAAGAGAGACATCGTACAGTGCCATAATTGTCAGACCTATGGCCACACGAAGACATATTGCCACCATCTGCCGCGTTGCGTGAAGTGCGGTGAACAGCACAAATCTGTAGAGTGCACCAAACCTATACAAGATCCAGCAGTATGTGCCCTATGCTTGGAGGGACACCCGGCCAACTACAAAGGCTGCCAAATTTACAAGAATCTCAAAACCAGACACCAGAAAAACCGGATTCAAGATGAAGCACTAAGAACAAGAAGAGAGAGAGAGCCTTCCAGAATTGTAAACAATGATGTATCATTCTCCCAACTACTTAGAGGTAAGACTTTAACCGATAATTGTCAAGCCCTGCCACAACAACAACCTCTACCCCAACCTCAAAATCCTCTTCATCCTAATATACCTAACAACCAACAACAAATTCCTCATATTCCTCCTCCTTCAAATGCAACAGATCTCACAAGTTTGTTAGCATCTTTCCTCACCGATTTCAAATCCCTTGTTACTCCACTCATATCACTCCTCACGAATCTCGTATCTCACCTCATCCCTCCTTTAAAAAATCCTTAAATGACTCACATCCCTAAACCCATATCTATTCTCCTTTGGAATGCGAATGGTGTTAGAAATCATACAGACGAACTATCTACTTTACTACTTGACAAGAACATTGATGTGGCACTAATTACTGAAACTCGACTAACCACTAAACAGCACTTCAATATACCACAATACCTGACATATCGTACTGACCACCCTGACGGAAAAGCACATGCCGGTACTGCTGTAATTGTACACCAATCCCTCTCCCATTACCAATACATGATTTCCTACAGTCCACCGCTATCGTGATAAAAACCTTCTCCTTTCCGGTCACTCTTGCATCAGCGTATTGCCCTCCTAACCGATCCATATCCAATGCCCAATTCAGTTCTCTCCTCGACTCCTTAGGACATCACTTCATCTTGGGTGCAGATCTAAATGCCAAGCACCAACAATGGGGTTCCAGAACCACGAATTCTCGTGGCCGAACCCTGCTGTCTGCACTCAATTCCCAACGTTTTCACCTCCTTTCCCCCAACTCTCCTACCTACTGGCCCACAGATCCCAACCGTAATCCTGATCTTCTTGATTTCTTTATCCACAGCGGCTTAAGTCCCCTCAATTGTTCCATTACACGTCTAAATGAACTTTCCTCTGACCATAGTCCTCTAATCCTTAATGTTTCACTTGAACCCGTTCCCAAACCTTCTCCACCGTCATTCATTAAGGGCCCAGTAAACTGGGACCTTTTCCGCCAAATAATCTCCGATAATATTGATCTTAACATATCCCTCAAAACTCCCGATGACCTTGATAGTGCCGTAAATTCCTTTACTACCACAATCCAACAAGCCGCCTGGACTGCCTCCTTCCCAAAAGACTCCTCCAGAATTCCTATAAAGATCATTCTACCCCAACACCTCCTTAACCTAATCCGCACCAAACGCCGTGCCAGATTACTATGGCAACGTACCCGACATCCTACCGACCGCTGCTCCTATAATTACTACTGCAAACAATTAAAACTGGAATTAGCCACCTTAAGATCACAATCCTTCAACTTCTACCTATCCTCCCTCTCTTCTCGCGACAATTCCCTTTGGAAAACCACAACAAAAATCCTAAATCCTCACCGCATTTCCCATCCTCTCCGACGAGGTGATGGCTCCTGGGCAGCATCTGACGAAGATAAAGCTGAGGAGTTCGCCATTCACCTATCCAATACATTTATTTCACATCCGGAATCCCATCCTGCCCACACCGTAACAGTAGAAGAACTCCTTACATCACCAATCCCACTTTCCTTGCCCCTAAAAGCTATTCATCCTTCCGAAGTAAAATTTCAATTAAAAAAACTAATCCCCGTAAAGCTCCTGGACATGATCTCCTTACACCTCAAATCCTTCGCAACTTCCATCCAAAGCAGTCATATTCCTTACATATATCTACAATTGTATCCTACGCACCACCCACTTCCCTCTGTTATGGAAACACTCCACTATTATCCTTTTCCCAAAACCAGGAAAACCTCTCAATAGCTCAACATCCTATAGACCAATCAGCCTACTCCCAATCCATTCAAAAATTTTTGAAAAGATCCTTTTGAAACGAATCCTACCCATTATAGAATCCCAAAATATCCCTTCCCATCAGTTTGGTTTTCGCTCTCAACATTCTACTGTTCAACAAGGATTCCGAGTTGTTGATCATATTTCCTCAGCCCCAGAAAACAAGGAATACTGTTCGGGTGCCTTTCTGGACATTGCACAGGCATTTGACCGGGTATGGCACTCCGGACTGCTCTCCAAGCTTAAAATACATTTACCTCAGTCCTTGTACCTAGTCCTCCGATCCTATCTCTCTGACCGCTCCTTTCGAGTTCGCTGTGGAACAGAATTTTCCAATATCTACTCCGTTAAAGCCGGTGTTCCCCAAGGCAGCGTCTTGGGTCCCGTGCTTTACATCCTCTTTACTGCTGACATCCCTGTTCATCCCGATACTTTTCTTGCAACATTCGCTGACGACACCGCGATCTTATCATCCAACTCTGATCCCAACATAGCATCCTTAAATCTCCAAAACCACCTCACCTTGATTGAGCACTGATGTAATAACTGGCGTTAATGTTAATGAATCTAAATGCCAACATATTACCTTTACACTCCGACGCAATTCCTGTCCACCAGTACTCTTTAATTCCATCCAGCTTCCTTACTCAGACACAGTCCGGTATCTTGGCTTTCATTTAGACCGAAGACTAACTTGGAACCCGCATACTAGACTCAAAAGACAAGAACTCAACCGACGATACGGCCAACTATACCGACTACTAAGCAGAAAATCTAAACTTTCCATTGAAAACAAGCTACTGATCTACAAGACAATACTGAAACCTATTTGGACTTACGGACTAGAACTGTGGGGATCAGCAAAATTTTCTAACATCAAGCGCATCCAATCCTTCCAGTCTAAAGTCCTTCGCACAATAGTCGATGCTCCTTTCTATGTATCCAACAAAACCTTACATCATGACCTTAACATCCCATTTGTCCTAGACCTTATCCCAGAAAAATTCTCCAAATTTCACCAGAACCTTACTTACCACCCAAATCCTCTTGCACAATCCCTATCAAGCATCTCCCATCCCTATAATCCTCCAAGAAGGTTGAAACGGCAGTGGCCTCGCGACCTTTTGTAGATTGTATAAATTGGAGTTCTGGCAATGGCCAGATTCTTCACTCAAGACATGTGTGTATGTGGCTAAAGTGTTCTCGACCAATCTCCGCTGGCTTTAGTACCAGTGACGCGGTTGGGAGAGTAGCGCAGGGTTCTCCTGGTGTTCCCTCGCCTGATTGTATATAGGTATGCATGTGTTTTTTTTTTTTTCTTAGTTTTAATTTTCTTATTTTTTAGGTTATTTTATTTTATTGTCTATTGTATATACTTTTGATTATTATTTTGTTCTATTTATTTTATTTTTTTGTACATATGGTGTGAATGTCATCCTACCTCACTATAACCAATGTCCAACAGACAGATTGTTATAATACTCAATAAAGAAATTAAAAAAAAAAAAAAAATAACCTAATAAACATTTAAAGGATAATATTTCAATTAATACCATATTTTAAGATATTCTCATAAAAATAAAAAAAATAGTTCTTCCTCAGGAAACTTAAAGACTTTTCATCATTTATTAAGCAGCAGTAAATGAACAATTTATGGCGAGTTTCACCTTTTATTTATTTATTTATTTGTTTTCCACCCTCCCATGCCACCAGGGCAACACGGGTGTATGCAGTAGTGTGGTGTTAGGCATTAATGCATAATAACACACTACTGCCATAATATCAGTTTACAAAATTCTAAGCTGTGCACACAGCTAGCTCTTCTACTTTTTCCTGGCTCCTTTAGGCCTGGCTTCCCGAATCCGGAGGTCTTCCTGGGACTGGTCCTCTTCTCCTTCTGCGTGCACCTAGGTTGAAGTGAGCTGGGCCCACCGCCGTCTTCCAGCCATTTATAAACTCTTTGAACCGCGGGAAGTTTTCTTCACTCACCAACTGAGGAAACTCCTCCTCAGTGAGGACGTAAATCCCCGTGGTTCTCATTAACCTCGCTCTTAATTCGTCGAAAGCAGTGCAGGCCGTGACCACATGCTCAACAGTCTCCGGAACACCACAATCGGGGCAGTGGGGATCTATATCCTGTCCGTAGCCATGGAGTTTAGCTCTGAAACCCCCATGTCCCGTGAGAAATTGTGAAACCCAATAGTCCGGGAGGACCCATTTCGCCTGTAACCGAGATTCAACGGTGGGAAAGTATTTTCTTAAGGTACTGCCTTTCGGAGTCGTCACCCACCGTCTGCTCCAATCTTCAATTGTTTGCTCCCGGATAATCTTTTTCCATTTATTTGGGTTTTCAATAATCCTCATCCGTAGGTTCTCCGACAGACTTGTTGAGCCCTCCTTCTTGTAGTCATACCTGGTCACTTCTTCTCGCAGGAGGAGGTCGAGAGGCACCACCCCCGCTAAGACCTGCACTGCTTCATGCGACGTAGACCTATATGCTCTGGTGACCCGAAGCAGAGCAGTCCTCTGAGTCGATGCTAGCCTATTTCTTTGTCTGAGTGTGAGGTTTCGGAACCAGAAGGGAGACGCATACCTAAGGATACCCTCCACAACACCCTTATAAATAGTGATAGTGGCTGGATACCTAAGGCCCCAAAATGCGCCCCCCACACGACTTAGACCGTTCATTGCTAGGGCCACCCTACCTGCCAGATATTCCAAATGAGGCGTCATATTGAGGCCTACACCTAACCTAACCCCTAGGTAGGTTACCACCTCACTTGGACGTATCCTCTGACCTTCTATGTAAATCGTTATAGGGTGTGCCCTATCAGTCTTTCCCTTAAGGAGGATGGCTTGAGTCTTAGCAGCAGCCATCCTCATCTTCTTCCCCTCACACCATCTAGCGACTAGGCTGGCGCATCGCTCTGCTTCTCTCTTGACTCCAGCTCTGCTGTTGGAGGCCACCACAGCAGCTAGGTCGTCAACGTAAGCAGTGGCAGGAAACCGCTCCTCCTCTAACACTCCCAGTAACTCATCAAAGACGAGCTTCCATAGAGCAGGACCAAGCACCGATCCCTGAGGGCAACCTCTCTCTATGGAAGCTTCTACCTCGTAGTAATTGCCTCTAATCTTGACACTTCTATCCTGGAGATAACTTCTTACTAATGTGTATAAGTTACTAGGAGCATCATACCTCTGCAGCTGCTGGAGCACGCTAGGCCACCATACGCTGTCAAAGGCGGAGGATATATCGAAAAGAAGCAACATGACATACCGCTCCGCCCTCTCCTCAACATCTCTGCGCACTCTCAGCAGGGCATCAGCGGTTCCTCTGCCTCTGGTTGATCCATATTGCCGTGGATGACTTGCTCTAGCGAAAACAGGCCGTAAACTAGTCATCATGAGGTTCTCCAGGACCTTGCTAATCACAGGGAGGAGACATATAGGTCTATATGAATTAGGGAGTTGTTTGTCCCTATCTCCTCCCTTGTAGAGTAGTCTCAAATCAGCGATCTTCCATCTTCTTGGAAAGTATCCCATATCCAGACATTCATTGAAAATACTCAACAGCCGGTCTTCAATATACGTGATACTGTTCCTCAAGATCGCTGCATCTATTGCATCAAGTCCTGGAGCACGATTAGTCTTCTGCTTATCCACGGCAATACGAAGATCGTGAATGTCCCATGGTGGGCACAAATCTGAACCAGGTGGATATACCGTGGTGCGTCTCACAAAATCATCATTTTCGCTGTCCTGGGTTGGGTCATCTCTGGGATATATTGCTTCAATGAAAACATTGGCAGTTTCTTCAAGGGTGGTTGCCTCAGTATTATGATACCGCAAGGCTGCAATAGTCTGCATCGGGGACAACTTACCCAATGCTACCCTATACGGAATACCCCAGGGATTCTTCAAAGACTCTTCAATGATGAAATCATCCCAAGACTTCCGCTTTTGTGAGCGAACCTCGTTTCGGTATATCCTGGCTTTTGACTTGTACTCATTGCGAAGTACAGTGCGCCTCTCTTCGCATCTGCACCTCTGATATGACCGCCGGGCCTTGTAGAGGTCTCGTTTTAGAACAGTTAAGGCTGGCGTCCACCATGGGACAGGTCGAACCCTCGCCTTCCGGTGCTTGAGGGAGTGTTCGGCAGCATCACGAATGTTGTTGGTAATCCTGGACACCTTGTAGTCCAGATTGTCAACTACATCCATCTCTGCCGCTTCCCACTCCTCGTCTGCAATCACTCCTTCCAGGTAGGACCTGAAGACACTCCAGTCATTTATTTTAGTGACGAAACCCTTATCAGTACCGTGGGAACATCCTGGCTCATTTACCAGGCCAATTGCTATCGCAACGTGATCGGAACTCGTATCAGATCTGAGAGTCCAATCAGCAATATACCTCGTAAGCGCAGGCGTGGCGATCGTGACGTCAATCCAACTCTGCCCCATGCCTCCAGAGAAGGTAGGGGTGGCAGAGGGTTCGTTCATCACGACAAGGTGATTTCTGCCTATGAAATTTCCCATTTTAGCGCCTCGCCTGTCAGTAATATTGGACCCCCAGACCGTGTTCCAGGAGTTGGTATCTGAGCACATGATCACATTCCTCATCTCTCTAATGATCGCCTCCATAGCGGATATGCTTTCTTCTACATCACTATTCACAGGTAGGTATGCCGATACCAATGTGAAAGAAATCTTGCCCCACTTAACATAGCAAGATGCATAATCCGCCATGGTGTGTTGTCTCAGATCCATCACGTCAAGGTTAGGATTATTAATCACTATTGCAGCCCTGGGCCTCCTCTCTCCACTGCTCAGGGCTATAACTCTTGACGTGAGGCCAAACCCCGTAACCCTGTTCCCACGGCAGCTAGGTTCCTGGACCGCCATGATATCGTAGCGTTGTGCCATGGCGCGAAGCTCGTCAGCCACAATATGCCGGCGGCCCATATTCAACTGCAGGATGTTGAGTCTAATCATAGTGAGTTCTCCTCACTAATTCTTGAGATCTCTTGATGTGCACTGGGCATTCTCTACTTCCTGCCTGGTGTTTAGCCTTACTTTTTTGAACACCTTCCCTCACGCAGTTAACGCATGTAGGTGCGGTCTTATTTCCTTTTGCGGGACAGTTTTTAGCAATATGCCCACTCGCCGCACACCACTTGCATACTATGCCATTTGCCTCACAAGTAGCTTTTGTATGTCCATATCCCTGACACCTTAGACAGGGAGGAGCATCGGGGTAATCTAAGATTGTCAGTGACCACCAACCTCCTGTAATTATTTCCTCCTTGAGTAGATTATATCTTACCATTGGATGTACTTCTAACACCCAATTATTGGTAATTTTATTTCTAGCCATTGATGAGAACAATGGCTTTATATTACCTAATTGGTTCTCAGAAATAACGGCCGATTTTGCAGCCAACCTTTCCCATAGCACCCTTTCTAGATTTTCCGCACTCCATGAAAGGGGAACTCCTTTTACCTCCACTTTTGGTTTTCTTTTTAAGGCTAGTTTTGCCTCCATCCCAACTTCTTTTAATTTTTGCCATTCAATTATTTTTTTCGCATGGGCACCCTCATCTACACAAACTAAAACTGAGCCAGCTTTGGTCGCCCGTACAACTCTCGCCTTGACTCCTAGTTCAGTTGGAGAAGGCAGATTGTTGATGATGTCAGCTGCACTTTTACCTTGAGAAGCGATGGTAACATAAGTTGGTCTTGTAGTATCCATCGGTTTTAATGGAAGCCCTTTAACAATATCGGCCATCGTAGTCTGATGTGTAGACCTTTTCTTGGTCAAACTTTCCTCTGCTATTGGTTTAGAGGCCTCGATCTCTTTGGCCACTTGTGGAAGAGCCTTTTTCCTTCTTTGCTTTTTCTTTACTTCCTGGAAACTTTCATTCTCCGTGGTCTCAATAATAGCGTGGGCATCGGCTAATAGCGGTTGTTCTTTAACGCATGGAAACTCCCGAGATGTCTGAGGTTCTGACAGTGGTCTTTGTATGGTTTTACTTTCCGACTTGAGTCCCTCGATAACCATAGGTACTGCTTTTTCCACTAATGCATTTACTATGATATCATACATTTCAGAGGAAGCTAATGTGTCCTTTACCACACGTTGTACTAAAAACGTTTTTTCATAGTTCTTATCATATATTGTCTCCATTATATCTATTAACTGCTGAATTTTCCCATTAACGTGCTTTTGTACCTTCGCACTCACGTTCCTGTCTGTTGCGTTCATGTAGACCCTGATGTTTTCTTTGATTCTACGTGCATCTTGCAGAAGACTATCGTCTACACGTTCTTTATCTGTTTCTTCTCGGGCGTCAGGAGATCCTTTCCTTTGCCTCTTTGCTGAAGGCCTTGGGCACTTTATAGCCTGTTCTTCCACCATTTCCTGCTCCATTGCTGATGCAATTTCATCAGCCATCTTACGCAATCCAAAATTAACAACTTTATACGTTGAAATAATGGGTGAACAACAGTAGAAGGAAATATTCAACACTCAAAATCTAACCTACGTTCGGGAAACTTATAAATTTCCTATCTTCAAAAGTAAGACTTTAATATGAACTTACCTTAGTGCTTCACCAACGTAATAGTCTCTAAACGTCCTTTTGGTTAGATTAAACCTTCGTGAAAACCACAAAGTTAACCTTAACCTCCACTGTTCACTCAAAAAGTTTATAAAATTAACTAAATAAACATAAACTAAAACTAAATCATGTTCAAAAAACTATAAAACACTAAAATAACACAAACAGTAGGAAACGATACAACAAAACTAACAAAACAAACTTGAAAAATACAAAACACTGAGAAGCACAATAACACTTTATCATAGGTAGATAACCTTCCTGGCGAGTTTCACCTTTTATTTTTCTTATGTTCATGTTTCGATTCTTTTTTCCTAGTTTTACTGTTCTGATTACAAAGAACCGTTGAATGACATAATGCCTAAGGCGCACAAGAGAGGATGTCAATAACTCAGATTTTTATCGTTGATATTTTAATTAGTTTAAATTTCTCTTTTTCTGATATATAAAAAAAAAAAAAAAAAACCTGTACCACTACAACCCATGAAGGATCTGGGGTTCAGTACTATTTAGGGAAAGCACTGTTTCTAGGTCAACGGTCGTGCAAGGAGGTGATTTGACCGAGATCACGCTCAACCGCCAGGTTTTCTCCCTTAAATAATTATTTAATTGAGGGTTCCCACTTTATAGAGGCTGGGTGAGCCCCAGGAAGGACTTCTGACCCAAGGTCGCCCAACGGCCAATGAAACAGATAAATAAATTTTCTGCCATGAGCCGGGGTTCGAACTCGGGACCTTAGCATTGGAATCTCAGTGCCCTACCACTGAGCTACCCCGCTCCCTTTTCTGATATATATGATATTATTATTTTGCTGTTGTTCCATTTATTTTTTTTTTAATTTCATATAAATATGGTATTAATGAACTCTTATCCCTTACTAATCTCATTAGAATGCAACATAACTCAGTAAAGAAATAAAAAAATAAAATAACATTTTTTATTAAAACAAAATTAAAAAATAAAAATGTTTCTTGTCTGTGAAATTATAAGGTACTCCGATCAATTAAGTTTTTCTTTTTCTAAAAAGGTAAAAGCACGTTGATAATTAAATTATTGATCTATGGGATTCATTATAGTTCATACATTTTAACGACAACATCAAACTTTCTAGCATCAAACTTAATTAATTTCAAATATAAAGTAAACGTACTTGTTTTTTTACCTAAGATAACAAAGTTGACAAAGAAAGCACCTTCATTAAACTTTCCTACACTAGCGTCTCTGGTCTATTATTCCCTTTGAGATGTCACTCCTCAAAGCATCAAGTCGTTTTTTTTTTTTTAGTTTTACCGCCCGATCACACAAAGGAGAGCCCCATATGGCATCCAAATAAACTCTAGTTCGAAGGCCTTTTGTAATTCGTCTTGATGAAAGTAGTTTCCAAACGGAGATATATTTTTTTTTAGTCAGCCTTAGATAAAGTGATGGTTCAGAATCCGTTATCGATTGGGACTCTACAATCGAATCACTTCGGGCTCACTCAGTTCTTCTAAAATTTCTCTCAACTAAAGTTTCCGGTACTGTATTATTTATTACGAAGTTGAAGTTAAATAGAATTTTAACGAATCTTCTCAGTGTCCAATACTCAGTAATAGATGTGTTAAGGTATCTTATTTTAATATGAATGAAGAGAACAATAGGGTTTCTCAGCAACAAATCAGTAATATATATATAGATTACTGATTTGTTGCTGAGAAACCCTATTGTTCTCTTCATTCATAATAAAATATATATTATGATATATATATATATATATATATATATATATATATATATATATATATATATATACATACATACATTATTATATATTCTTATTACATTATCATATATATATATATATATATATATATATATAAGATAAAGACCGGAGACTGGCGATATCAGCCTTAATACCATCTTGTAATGTAAATAAACATAGCAATTGTATATAAGGCAGATTATTGGACGAATAAAGCAGTGTTTATTCAGAAGCCGTGAGTATTGTTTCTCGTTCCTCTTTCCTTCTTTTTTTTTATTTTTAAAGCCCGGAGACGCTTAACTGGTGCCGAAACCCGGGAGAACGTCAGGAGAACACGGAAGTAAAATTTTTTTTTCTGTCTTTATTTTAATTTTTTTTTTCTCTTCTCCTAGTCATAAGGAAAAGACGAGATGCCGACAGAGGGCATAATTCGACCAGGAGTGTTGAACGCACCTGAAATGCCGCAACCTCAGGAAATGCCGATAGCGCAGATTCCTCAGATCGCCCCTCAGGTTCCGCAGATTCCGCAGATACCTCAGATACCTCAAGTACCGCAGATACAAGAGATCCCTCCCTTACCTAGGGACACATTGGCAGAGGCGCATGCCAATGCATTGGAGTGGATGAAGATAAGGGCAGCAACCACGCAGGATCTACGGAGAGCAATCGCAGACCTGGAGCGATTCGGGGGCGAGATAGGTGAACTTAATCACTTCCTGAAAGGCGGAGACCGCCTCATATCAAGAATCGAAGCAAAGGTGGCGGAGGACCTCGTGAACCTGGGAGACGCAGAAGCACTGAAGGCAGCTCTCGTGTGCCGAGTGAGGAGGAACATCCTCAACCAAATCCAAGCGGACGAGGAGACACCATGGCCAGTGATTAAGGAGCGTTTGAAGAAGGCTTTCGGAGGAGGCCGATGGACGCCGGAAGAAGATATCTTCCAAATGTTTAGGGAGTGTCGGTCCCAACGCCAAACAAGAGGACAGTATGCGGGGGTACTAGTGGCGAAGTACAACCGCATAACTGAGAAAATGCGTGAAACCATGAGTGTGGGAGAGGTCGAGGCTAGGATGGAATTCCTTTCGACAATACTCAAGGTTCAGTTAGCTAAGGAGACTGGGAGAAGGGACGGACTGCCTAGAGAGCGATCGTTCCTCGAGTGTGCCCAAGAAATGATAGATCTGAGTGCAAGAGAGGAAGAGACGCGGATGGAAGTAGAAGAACCAGGGTGGACCCGAGTGAGTGACAGACGACCCCGGACAGCCCAGATAGGGTGGAGGAAGAGGGAAATGAAACACCCGAACGGAGAAAAAGCCACGACGGGCGAGAGAAGATCCGGACAGTCCAGGCCTAGGAATGGACCCCGGAGGGAAGACCGAAAATGTCACGGGTGCGGGAAACCGGGACATTTGGTAGCACAATGTCCGCGCACTAGATGTTTCGAGTGCGGGACTGAAGGGCATATTGCCAGACAGTGCCCGTACATGTTTCGCAGGAGGGAGAGACCTCTAGACGAGCCAATGGAGGTGAACGCTCAAAAGTTGAAAAAACGAGCTAGGATGCAGCAGAGAGACGGATCTTCGGAAGAGGCAACCGAGGAGTCGGGGACGTCGGGAACGGAGACTGACGAGCCAGCCAGCAGTGGAGGCGAAGGAGGCAGGAGCAGCCAACGGAGCGAGCAACGACGAGCGACGGCGGTAAGGAGGAAGCGAGGTGGCATCTGAGAAGGGTGTCAGCAGAGAGGCGACCGCACAGCAACCTGCAACAATATTAGAGGTAAGCCATGCTGGTTGCCGATTATTGAAGTAGATCGGGGAGTGAAGTGTCTCGTGGACACAGGGAGCTCGAGTACTATCTTGACTCGGGGGGCGTTGGGGAGAGTGTGCGGGAGCGAGAGGGTACTCCGGATACAAAACTGTGGCTGCCAGCTAATCACTCTGGGTGGTCCCTGTAAAGTAGAAGGGGAAGCGTCAATTACGCTTGACCGGTGGGCAGGGAAAAAGGGGGAGCTAAGGGTGCATGTGGTAGAGAGCATGGCGCGGGAGTACCAAGTCATAATAGGGTGTGATCTGTTAGGACAGGTAGGGGTAAGCATTAGAAACCGTAGAGGAGCTTGGAGTATCAGGCTGGGAAAGAGGAAATTTGGATGTATAGGGGTCGCGAGAGAAAGAAGGGTGCGGATAGGAGCGGTGAACAGGGTGGAGGACTGGAGAAAGGCGTTACAAGCGGAGTTCGTAGATATTTTCTTCAGGGAGGGCGAGGTATTGGGGGTAACAGGGAAGACGGTACACGAAGTTCCACTGAAGCAAGATAGGGTGACCTACGTAAAGGAAAGGAGATACCCGCAGGCGATGAGGCAGCATATTCGGGAGGAATTGGAAAGCCTGAAAGAGCAAGGGATCATAGTCGATAGCACCTCGCCATTTAATAGTCCCCTGTGGGCAGTGAAAAAGAAGGCAGCGCCGGGGGATAATAAGGAAAAATACAGAGTGGTAGTGGACTATCGTAGGTTGAACGACAACACGGTAGACGAAAAGTACCCGATCCCTAGATTCGAAGATATACTTGATAGGTTGAGTGGGGCCGTGGTGTTTAGCACGTTGGACCTCAAGGCGGGATACCACCAAATACGGATGCACCCGAAGGACCAACATAAGACGGCGTTTACATTCGAAAGGGGGCATTACGAATTCACCAGAATGCCGTTTGGTCTGAAGAATGCGCCCATAACTTTTCAACGCCTGATGGACGAATTTCTGAGGGGGATCGACGACTCCGTATGTCAAGTATACATGGACGACCTGTTGATTTTTAGCAGAACGGAAGCCGAACACGTGGGGCATTTGAGGTCGGTATTCGAAAGGCTGCGACAATTCGGGCTGAAACTGTCAAGTGAGAAGTCCCTGTTGGGACAAACGCGAATCAATTTTTTAGGCCACACTATTTCTAGCGAGGGGGTCAGACCGGATGCGGCAAAGGTGGAGGCTATCACACGAATGGCGGTGCCACGGGACGTTAAAGGGATTCGTAGGCTTCTCGGGACGCTGAATTATTATAGGAGATTCGTACCTGAGATGGCAGAATACTTGGTAC